GGTCATTGGGACTTCTTGCTGCACACGCTCTTATGTGCTACAGGCCATTCAGTTCCTCAAACGGTTCCCAAAAGCTTCAAGCCACCTACAGTAATCAAGAACCGTACCCTTCGCCTCCTAAGCCGCAAACGGCACTGTTGGGCGGAATACAAACGAACTAATAACGATGGAGCGTATAGGCAATACAAACATATCAGGAACACATGCACGAAGGCTATAAGAGAAGACAGGCTTCAGTACCAAACAAAGCTTATGGACAAATTCGCCTCTAACCCTAGAAGCCTATTCCGTTATGCAGCCTCTCTTCGTCAAGCCAAAACAGGAGTTTCTCAACTGCTAGGTCTTAACGGCCCAACCAACAACGATGGCGACGCCGCTAACCTTCTGGCGGCCCATTACTCTCAAACATTTCAACCGGCTGACATCAACTTTATTGACGACAGTTTCATCTCCAACTCCACAGGACTTTACGAAGTGGACCTAAGCGCTGACTTGGTGTTCCGGAAATTGCAGCACTTAAGACTTGACACTTCTCCTGGCCCGGATATGGTTCATCCTGCCATACTGAGGGAGGCAGCCTCAATCCTGGCAACGCCGCTTAGCGTGATGTTTTCACACTCGCTTAGACGAGGCAAATTACCGGAAAATTGGAAGTTGGCTCACATCACACCAATTTTCAAAGGTGGTCGACGCAATGAACCTTCAAGTTATCGGCCGGTGGCTATTCTGTCATTACCTTCAAAACTCATGGAGTCCCTGATACGCGAAGGTTTAAATGACTATCTACTGTCCTTAAATTTCTTCTCACCCCAACAGCATGGTTTCAGGAAGGGTTACTCTTGTATAACCAACTTGCTGACTGCGGTGTACAGATGGACAAGCATCCTCGATTGCAAGGGAAAGGCTGATGTCATTTACCTTGATTTCTCAAAAGCTTTTGATAAGGTTAACCACTTGTGTCTTATCAACAAGCTCAAACGACTAGGTATCAAACCACCTCTAATCGATTGGCTTACTTCATACCTAAAAAATCGACACTTCAAGGTTAGTGTTAATTCCACTTTATCTCAGGCTATGGAATGTCCTAGTGGGGTTCCCCAGGGCTCAGTACTAGGGCCTCTTCTCTTCTTGACCTACATAAATGATCTTCCTCAACAAGTAACGTCAGACTTACTACTTTTTGCCGACGACGTGAAACTTTGGAGAGAGATACGCAACCAAGACGATACACAGGCACTTCAGGAGGATCTGATGCGACTTCAAAGTTGGGCAGACGATAACGGACTTACCTTTAACACTTCAAAGTGTAAAGTAGTCCATCTGCGACATGTCGCAAACTACAGTTACAACTTAGGAAACTCCTCTCTAGTAGTATCCCAAGTCGAAAAAGATTTAGGAGTGCTGGTGCCCCATGACTTAAAGTCTTACGCTAACTGTGACAAAAATGCCTTCCGAGCAAACCTTGCACTGGTAACGTTGAAGCGCATTTTTGGCCAGTTTGACGGAAGAACTTTCCACACAATCTTCAATAGTTTCATCCGTCCCCATTTAGAGTACGGAAATATAGTACTCCCCCCTTACTCCAAAAGGACAAGGTCACTTTGGAGCGTATCCAACGGCGAGCCACGAAATCAGTTCGAGGACTCAAATCTAAGCCTTACGAAGAACGCCTCCGTTCACTAGACCTTTACCCACTAGAATATAGGCGTCTTAGAGGTGATTTATTAATTTCTTATAGTATTCTTAACACTTCTGGACATCCTCTTAAACACCTACTTAAGCTTAGTTCGAACAATAACCTAAGGGGTAACACCCAGAAACTGGAAACACAACATAGCAAGACGGAATGTAGACACAACTTCTACTCCTTAAGAGTTGTCAAAAGCTGGAACTCGCTGCCGGCCGAGCTAGTCCAAGCGACTTCTCAGGAGTCCTTCAAGAGGCAACTTGACCTATTCTTAAGAACCAAGGACAGCATCACACTATGATTTACCAATTTCTTTTCCTCTTTTATTGTTAACATACCTAGGTTCCTGCCTGGAGGATTTGGTGATCCCCTGCTACTAGACACGGAAGCCTGTTAAGCGAAAGCTTCTTCTATTCCGTCCACAACCATTTGAACCATTTTGAACCATTTGAAGCGCATTCGCTAGGGAACTCCTAAACGTGTATTGTGCTGTTGAAGGCTGAGAATTAACTCTGTTAATCGACCATAATCCTCTCGAATTTACTCTGAGTCCATTTTTAGCCAAGTACTCCCCTTGAGAGTCTCGACAAGTGGACTACGTTTCACAGCATATTTCAGATACGCGACACATTTCTGGGGCAAACAATTCATTTCGATAATGATATTAGAAGACAAAGATTATCAGAACTATGTGATATGTTAGCGCAATACATTTCGAACAATCTGGTCACACATATACTTGTTAAGAGCATTTATATATAAAAAATTCAGTTGCAAACGCCTTTTCCAGCAAAATTTCTTTAAACGGTTTCAGGAAATGAACATTATTGTAATAACAATACGTCAATCTGCTGCACAAGTTACATTCCACAACACTGAAACTAGGGATTATTCAGATGGGAACAGTAATAAGACTTTGCCGGGTCACACATATCGTCAAGTCGTGCCTAAATATTATCAAAACATCTTCAGTACGTTCGGGGTGTATGAGCAACCTTCAAGTTGTTGGCCTGGTATGGAAGAGACGTAAGGAAGTGAACGCGCCTCTGTATAAGCTGCTAGATCAAACACAGTGAGTGTCCATTTGGGCTCCTTCAAAACCTCCGACGCTCGCTTCAACCATGATCATCTGGATTTGTTAGGACCTTTATGAGTGTCAAATGGATAATCTTATCTTTTAACATGTGTAGACCGTTTCACACAGTCGCTCGAAACAGTGTTCATTGAGGATATTACTACTGGAACAATGGACTGCACCTTCGTCGAACTGTGGGTGACAAACGTCAGCTGCCCATAAAATATCCCTACATACTGTAGAATCCAGTTCCATTCTGGACGTTTTCGCTGTCTTACGAAAATTCTAGGAACCACGGGACTTCGAACAACAGCCTACCACTCACGAACAAACGAGTCGGCAGAACGGCTTCATCGACATCTAAAAGCTTAAGTTTCACCTGCAAATGTTTCATAATGAACCGACGCTGCTCCACTCATGCTACACCGTACTCGCAATACAGTGAAAGCTGACATTAGATATAGTGCAGCTCAACTCGTCTGAGAGTTGACACTCTTACTTCTAGGGGAATTCGTGTATCTCCATCTTTGACGAATAATAATCTAAACTCTTACACAAACAGGAGTACATACCCTATGTGCTCAGCTAAGACTGTATTCCGCTTGGTCATAATCAACTGGCGTTCTTCTTCGCCCTACCTCACGGCACAGTACACACTTTTTATTCATCGCGATTCATAACGATGACCTCTCAAAACGGCATCGCAAACGAATTAACTATACAATTGTTTAGGAAGGAATTAAGGAAAAATATGCATTATCCCGATGAAGGCGCTTAGTTACAAAGTGACTAATGATTTTGTTTTTCCTCCTGTACAATCGAACGATAGAAGAATCAAGACCACGATACCATCGACGACCATTAAGAAATACGGCGGAACTTGGTTGTAAATTGATAACTAGTCCAAAACGATGAGCTCTGAAAGAATAATGAGGTTTACAAAGCACTTGAACAACTATATTATATAGGTTTTTGTTTTACCTCGTTTTTCGGGTAATACAACTATTTTTTGCATTCTTAGTTCTTTTTTGTTGTGTAGGAAACAGAAAATGAACGTTCTTAACATGCTTATGTATTTGCATATATGTTTCCGAAAAATGATCTAAAAAATATTTACTGGTAAAACTCTTCATGATATAATATTGAATATATTTATGAGAATTGTTTGTTCGGATGATTTGCTTCCTTAGGTAAATACGAGTGAATTTTGGTACGCAATTACATTTTAATTGTATCTCTTGCTGAGGACGACTGTAAAAGAAAAAAACTGACGAAGCACACTTTTGTCATACAGTTCTCAATTGCTATGCTGTACAATATACCCTTCCATACTAAGTAAAGACAACCATATAGGCTGAACATAGAAAGCTATTGGAAGAGCGTTTACCAATGGCAAGCTTGTTGGAGCCAAACTTCTGGCTGATCGCGTAATAGAGCGACCGAAATTCCACTAGAGAAGAAGGGATGAAACGGCAGGCAAACGCTCAAAATAATTGGTTCTCCAAGCCTTGGACACTGACACTGATCTTGTTAGTTATACTGTACCTATTCTAGCTAAGAGAACTCGGTTACTAATCCACATCAAATCATGTATCGACACACCGAGCTTCACATCACTTACAATTACTAACCAACTTAGACCAAACGCTTCTCAGCACATCGACATCTTCTTACACATACTCTTGAACCCCATCACCCCTGACTTCCGATTGGACTGGTTTGGTTCGGTTTGTCAAACCATGAATATCTGTGGCATGATCATGCCTAAAATCATTGATATGCTTATGTTCCTCATAGTGATAAACGGTAGATGTACGGAAATATGGGCAAGCTTTACATGGACGTAAATCACGTGACGATGTAGAAAAACATTTCATAAAGACTCCTTGTTGTCCTCTGTTCATCATGCTATTCAGTTTTAAAAACACAAGGACCCGTGTCGTTGGTCTGATTTCTACTCTCCATGTCCTCATATAGTTGTTATTTGTATGATGGTGTTTCGGTTCCTTACCGAATTGGGGTTAGCTATCGTATAGTGACGTCCACATTCAATAATTATATCCGTATTACAATTGATACAGATAGCACGTGCCACATGACACTTCTACCGGCAGTTATGCTCAGTTTAGAAGAAACGATATTTAAAAACAAACTTTGAGCAAATATAATAACCATCTTCCGTATTCAGAATTCTTTTTATATTCACGCTATGATTGATTTTCGAACTGTTAGACCTCGCAGCGCTTCAACTTATTCGGTACGTCTCTATGTCCTCCGCAAAGATAGTTTTTCAGTGCTGCGTGTCTGCCAAACTCTTAGTTGAAGAGGGTGGTTCAGAGACAACCATCAACAAAGGTCTTATAGCTTATGTCGCTTTTTTAAAAGATTGTTCTGATGAAGTTTTGCATAAAATTGCCGAGACAATTTGTACAGTTCGCCTGATATCTGACAGTAACGACAAACTCCGATCTGTGATTGATAGTCCTTGTGACTTGTTGATTGTTCCTCAGTTCTGTCTGTCTGGGAAACTAAAAGGTAAATGTTTTCAGTATCACACTGCTGTCCCAAAGGTGGCTGCTGAGTCACTTTATTCCCGATTAGTTAAATCCTGTGATACATTTTTAAGAAGCAGTGCTACATGGTTATCCAAGTCATGCAAACTTTCTTATGGAACATTCGGAATTCGCCAGATCTTAAGTATAGAGACTAATGGTCCTTTCACTCATGTTGTTGAGCTGTAACTTGTATGCCGTTTAAAATGACCTGATTCCCTGAATTTCTACTTTTTGTATTATTCTTTTTTTTCGTGACAGAATTTGGTTTTTAAAAATTTGTGTTAACGTAATATGATTGAAATAACTTGCAATGACAGACTTGGTAAGAAAGTACGCATTAAGTGTAACCCAACCGACAAAGTTGGTGATCTAAAAAAACTGATTGCTGCTCAAACCGGAACTAACTGGGAGCGGATTGTACTTAAAAAATGGTACACTATTTTTAAAGATCATATAACACTACAGGACTACGAAATCAATGATGGAATGAACTTAGAACTGTACTATCAATGACTTGTGCTCAGAATTTGTTCATTTTTGTAAATTTTAAATACAAATTTTTCACTATTTATCAGTTTGTTTCGAATATATGTGATTTTTTGCGTCGTAAGATTTCTTTCGAAAGATAACCTTGCTATTCCTAAGGTAGAGAAACATCTAGCTATCTTTGTTGCTGATGTTAGTATACCGGGTTTTACAACTATTGAGTACACTTTCAGTGAGTTACTTAATAATGATGTAGTAGTAAGGTGCTTTATAAAATAGAGATAAGTAATGTTGCAAGATATTCGACTAACAATTAGCCTAAGTTATCTAATCAATTATGAGATAGAAAGAAAGGGAAACAGGTTCAAGACTCATGTATGTTTTAACGTAAAATCCGTAGTCGATCTGGTTCTAACCAATTTCAATGCTCACGAAAAGCTAGTACTGCTTAAAATGACAGTAGTATAGGTGATTAGAATACAATGTTGTGATGTTAGATTGTGCTAATTTCGACACAGGATTGTTTCATTGAGTTTGTTTTGTGTGGCTGACTGTATATTGACTTCGTTTTCAATGTTCAGGGGGATTATGGCTTAACTAAGAAGTTGTCACTTACAAGACAGCTAATTTTTGCAATTTAATTTCCGTTGGAACTCAAATTATTTATTGCTACTCTTTATTTTAGGTCCTCATTTACAGGGGTCTCAGTGGACTTTTATTATGAACCTTGAGATTTCATGTAAATAGTTTGGTGTGTTTTAGTTCATTCGTTACATAATGATTTTCATCACTAATCTTATCAAATAAATAATTCAATATAGTTATTATAAAAAAGTAGCTAGGTATTCATTGCACTCATGAAGTTCGATATTGGAGTAGTTTGCGTTTCTTAATTATCCTGAAATGAGAACAGATTACAACCTTTTTCCGATCCTCTCATTTATAAATCCATGTTACTCTCTATGTTAACATTCTTCAACTTATATTTGTCAAAACAACCATATGAAGGACATTACTATAGTCTTGTATGTGACTAGTGGTTTTGGTTTCCGCAAATTAAAAGTTCTAAGATAATTAAAGACTATTTAACCTGATCTTTGTAGTTTCCAATACTTCTTTCAGGTTCTATAACCCACTCACATTTCGCTTTAGTTAGCTTCAATAAGTTTACGGCAATAATAGAAAAATATTGTGAACTATGACCATCTATTTTAGAAGTCCATGTTTGTTAGGGTTCCCTGTTTTTTTTCCCAAGTTTATTAACATCAAGTGGTCCATTTACTCAATATTTGAGTGTCCAAAATATTACTAAGTAGGTAGAATAGAAAGATGTATCCATACCATTATTTTAGCGTTACCACTCAAATATTCTGAATGTTATCTCGGTAAAGTAGAAAGACACTTAAGATAACGAACAAGTCAGTTTGGTTTATTGAATATTTGTAACTTGAGACTGGTATTTACGAAAAATGTCAACTGGTCTACTTAAGGTGTTTTTAATTATTTGAAGACATACTGGCACCTACAGGCATCAAAATAAATATATTCCACACAAATCACGGAACAATATTTCAAAGAAGGAGTATGATAAAGACAAATAATTGGTAAAAATAAGTCAATGAAAAATATATTGGGAGAGACACCTTTAGCCACTATCTCTCGAATTTCAATCAGTGAGTTATGATTGGGCGATAGATCCCAATCCTAAATAGCTTTCTTTCATACCACGACGCAATCCTGTAAATTGATCACTCCATCACTTTTTCTATCTCACCTACGCGTCCTCAAGTGAAGCATGATATGAAGGCCTCTGGTGTTATGTTCGTACCACGTCCAGGCCACCGAAGCTAGTGTTTCAAGATTATGAATCTATTTGAACTATTGGGATTATATTCAAACACACACAACCCAGCCTAAGTATAAAGGAAATGGTAACTTAACTGAATATCAGTGATCCTTCAGAAAGAAAGATGATCAGACAGGGCCTCAAAATACCTTGAGAAGCCAGATTTTACTGGCGAAAAGTTGAACTGGTCTCACCAGACTAACATCTATACGGCCACAAAAGTGGCGCAAATCGGCCGAAGACACTGATTTTATTTATGTAGGCAGATATCATTAAATGCCCCAGACTTACCCAAATACACGGACCTTTTTATAATTTCTAACAGTTGACTGCTGAGAGTCAATTTCAGTACAGGTTCCTTCCAGTCTAGTGAAAGTATCATGTATGTAGATACTTGCCGTATCTACGCACACTCCCAACTGATTAAGTGCGGATTTCATACATTGAGTATAATCTTACAGTAAGAAAATAACATCCTCATACTTATGATCGAAGTCTTTCTTCACGCAACAAATCCACACAACCACCTACCTTTATTAGGGCTGTTGATAAGAAATGGAGGACTCGGGGAACTCTTCCTAACCCCTCTGCTTGAACGAAACAATAGTAAGGGGCGTTTGTGTACAGAGCCTCCAAGATATTATTAGGCTTCTAAGAAACACTATCAAAACAATCTTGGAGCGACCCTGATGTTAAGAAAATACAATGGTTGTTTGGTTGAAATAAGTTTGCAGATTTTTCATCAAACCCACGGTTAGCTGGAGTGGACTTCAGCGCCTTAAATAGTTGTAGGGAGCCAGTAGAAGCCCAGTGCATATAAGAGGGACGTTCGGTGGAGCCAAAAAAGAGACCGACTACTAGTCTTGAGTCTAACTCCGTCTGATATTTGGTTGCGACCGGAGCAACAGTCGACTCGCTTATATCAATCACTTTATGACGATGAGTTTTCTGAGCACTTAAACGAAAGATAGCGGTAGCGCTAACCAAACCATGACCAGAGTCCAGATAGGTACGCCAGAATGAACGGTAGTCTTGTACATAATCATGCCAGGGAGTACAACGCCTATGACTTCCGAAATTTGGTGCTGACCAGTGACAGGTTTTTGTCTGTGCAAAGCTGCTGGAGACGGTCACCATTAATTGACCGGAGATCGGCAAGCCCTTCTCGACCACCGAAGAGACTCTGCTCTGTACCTAGACATTCGATCTGTGGGTTTGAACTTCTGACTAGCACTAAAATGTGTCGAGTGCGCTTTTTTGAGATCATGTCTCTGGTTGTAAGATTAATCCTTGATTGTATGCGGACTGCAATACGTCTTGGGGTAGGCGGAGATAACGACAGCGTATTGTTATTTTACTTCGACTTCTTGTCAATGTGCTAGAGCCTTTTTATCTAATACTTCATCCTAAGGCAGCGTACCCAGTATTTTGTAATTAAAACTACCTTCATTTTCACTTCTCTATTTTATTTAATTTGAATTTTTCAACGGTATATTAAAAGTACACAAATCTGAGTAATTCTTACCCCACTAATTCTTTTTTTAATAATTATTTAGTCTGCCGCTAATTCTTCACTATTTGACATTTTCACTTAAACAGTCAGGAGTACCGTTACACAGTTCTAGGTCTCTCAACAGTCGTAAAGAGAATTTCATTGCGCAGTCGATCTACAGTTTAATATCCCATTTCCTTCCAATTTTCAACTACTTTTATGCTATGTCAAAAGTATTACGTGATAATCTCCTTATCTACGGCCATACACATAGTAGCAGGTTGGGATAACATTTGGAGTTTCTCATAATGGTCAGTGTTTGCGCATATGGAATTGAAGTGTTCTGCAAACTGATCCTTAATCTTCCCACTTGAAGATTCCTTGCTGAATTGAAACTAAGTTGCTAACTTACAAATAATTCATCTGATGCCCGGGTAAGATTAAAATCGTCATCTAACTCGGTTAACCAAAAAATAATAATACATGTGAAACGGTTTTTGTGTACAATTAAAAATGAACAGTATACTTGAAATAACTTAATAAATTCTGGGAAACAGGTGACGAAGTTTACATCCAGATGCGTATCGTCGACTAAAGATATCTAGAACCTCGAAGATCAAATACATTAAAATGTTTATAAGTAAATGACTGGTGCAAATCATATTATGAACAAACATCCCAGAATAATATCGGAGAAGTGACCTTTAAATGTGTACTGGCTAAGGAATGACGGCGTAAAGCTTTTACTAAGATATATAAGTATTTTGTCAAGATATTACTCGTAGATTGACGTGCCTTACAAAGTGCAAATGAGACATTCATCTCACGGTTATTCTGACAAATCAGTGAAATCCCTTAAGGTAAGAGCAACATCTAGAAAGCGTTTTTATTAGTAATGGTTATTAATGGGACAAAAGGCCGCTATCCAGAAATTTGCCTGTTTCTATTGACAGACGATGAACATAACTCTGTTAGTTTCATTACAACTTGCAGTTCGTTATTAGACTGTAGCATAACAGTAGAAATACAAAGCACCATCTTGACAACAATGCATTACATAGGCCCTCGTTTCCAACTGTTACTAGGAGCTATTCATTCATTTGGTGTCAATCTCTTTGTCTCGGTAAGACAACTATTTTGGTCTGCTCTGCTACTGAACTTCAAGATCTCGAGTTCGTCTCACGATGCAGTTAGTCGATATCGTTAGTGTAAGGCATAGACCTCTCCAGCGTCTTTCCTTGATTCCTTCAAATGAAAGCTGGTTTGTTCTGTGCCATAGTGGTACCTTGCCGGCGGACACTCAGTGCCTTACGTTGACAAATGTTTACAGTCAGCTGTACCTTGTCTGAGGGTGGTTGTAGTAGTTATCCAAGTTGTAGCTCTGTACGACCGAACTGTCTCGTAGTTACTGACAATTCGGACCCTGATGTTGTGTCGTGCATCATATGTTCTCAATTGGTAGGAATGTTGCCATCGCCTTCACATCATTCTTGATTGTGATGTTGCCAGACTTGATTGTTATGGACACCGGGACCGTATTCATCACTTGCTCAGGTTTTAGTCAGTCGACCCACAACTGCTTTGTGCATCATTACGGGTTAGGTCAAGTAATTCCGACCACGCCTCTTATGGGTAGCATATCCATATACCTTATTACAACCAACCTATTGACAACTGTTGTCAGTTGGACCCAGTAATACATCCAACACCACTACTTTGTAGATGTGATAAGACCAGATGTATCCAC